ATGTCAACAGAATAGAACTATCCAAAAGCAAAGTCTAACAAAATATATAAACTGGTTAAAATTTCGGAAATTTGGTTTTTGCCATATACCACAACATGCTTCTTTAAAAGAGAATAATGAAATTGATGCTTGTGTTAACCAATTTTCTGAAGTAATCTCAACGGGGGCTGAAGCAGCTCCGATAAGAACTGAAAAAACAACCCAAGGACTTGATAAACAATAAAGGCATTATTACAACGGAAGAGGAACGCCAGAAGACTATGGCAACATAGATCCGCAAAACAGAAAATTTTACTTGTTAAATATACTAAGGAACTGAAATGTACACTAGTGGAAAGACATTAAAAATCCCTATTCCCAATTTTCTATACAACTTGGCACTTAATGAACAAACTTACTATTCAGTTTGGAAGGCCACAAAGTACTTCAAACAACCTATCCAGCATGAATCTCCACTCAGACTAGAAAATGGTGACTGGGCACGAAGTGACTCTGAGACAGGGGACATATATATGAAACACTTAAAAAATGTATTTACTCCAAATGGTGCTTCAAATAACACCTCTTTACCAATAACAAACCTATATCTCTCGAGCAGACCAATGATACTTAAAGCTGGGAAGGACAAAACCAAAGTACAATCTTACACACCAAATAGCGTCCAGAGACCGTAAATTTGCCCATATTACTGGAGATCCGGAAGGTAAAAGAGAGGCCAGCCGCCTGTCAAGGGAAATTGAAAGAAAGATTGGCATCTTCAGAAATGAAAACTGTTGAATTCCTGTTGGGTCTAGAACTCCCAGAAAATACTTTAGCTGTAACGCAAATGGGCAATACCGCCTATTTATGAAGAGACCAGCATGGCATACACAGATTCAGAAAAAGCCGAGGCCTATGACTACTCTCTGAAGTTTCAAATTCACCCTAACGAAGACTGTGATTAAGACGCTGAAGAGGAAGAACAAATCACCGAGCAGGATTACAATATCCTGGACCAAGAGCGTGATGAAGACATCGTGCCCTGCTCTAGTGATGAAATTAGCTTAATCATCTCAGATCATCGCTTGAAGATAAGATCTGCACCAATGTACGACAAAATTAATAACAGATGCTTACGTTGCCTATTGGAAGATGCGATCCCTCTCATCGCAAATATAATCTACTCTATATTTTTATCCTACGCGAATATCCAAAGATTTAGAGACAGACCACAGTTGTAGTCTTCTCTATACTCAGCACGGACCCGAAGTTTCCGCAGAACCGGCGCCCCATAAGCTTGCTGCTCTGCTTACTGCTCAGCTCTAGGTAAATTGGCTGAAAGAGTGATTCTAGACAGACTTAAAATTTTGGTGACCTCGCTGAATATTCTTCCTGACGAGCAATTTGGTTTTAGAGAAGACCTCTTCACAGAATTGCAACTGGTGCGAACGGCTCAGATGATACAGTCAGCCCTAAGCAAAAGAGAATCAACAGGTATGATTACATTTGACATCGCCAAGGCATTTGACAAGGTCTGGCACAACGGTCTGATAGTCAAAATGTCTCGTTTTGATATCCCAGTCGGGCTCGGCAGCTTCCTGCGCAAAAGGTTGTTTTGTGTAAAAATCAACAGTACCTTCGCGTCGGTGCGAAGAATAAAAACTGGTGTTCCGCAAGGATCTCCACTCTCTTCCTTGTTATATAACATCTACACGTCTGACATCCCAATGTTAAGTCCCTCGGTGCTATTCTTATAAGCAGATGACACTTGCTTGCTATATTCCGATAAACTTGCCAGAAATATAACCAACACGCTGCAGGAGCATGTTAATCTCATCCTGGAGTTCTTCCAGAAACGGAAAATAAAAATTAACTATGACAAAACTAAAGCCCTATTTATTATTCGTAAACACAGGCAACATCTACCGAGAGTGAGAGTCGGTGATATCGCGATTAATTGGGAGGACAGCATTAAATACTTAGAAATTACATTTGATAAGCAGTCCACTTGGCACAAACGGAAGAAGTGAAGAACAGAAAGCTGATCTACAGCCAGATAATTAGACCGGCACTTCTTCAAGGGTCTGTTGTGTATAGCAAAGCTGGCGACTCTACTATCCAAAAGCTATAAATTGCTCAAAATCAGGCTCTCCGAAGAATCTTCAAAGTGCCATGGTGCACCCGCACGAATGACATGCTAAGAGACCATAGAATAGATCCAGTCAAAAAATATATACGGGACAGAGCTCTGAAGCTATATGCGAAAATCGACTACTCTACTTGTCTAATCTCAGAGTAATCACTAACCGCACGGAGCGGTACGCAGATCTTAGATCAATCATTGAATAATAACGAAGATTATGAGGAATACTCAAATTAGTCAGTGAGATGGGTGGGACTTTGCAGAAACCCCCCAGCAATCATAAAGTAAAAGTGCCCAAATGAACTAACTCGCATAAGGCTCAACATAAGATAAGTTAAATAGTGTGACAATGTGAGAATTTTTGGCTTGTATACTTACAAATTATACTAGTTTACAAATTATTGAAAATTTTGTTTTTATGGTAAAGACGAACCTGGATTGTCTATAATAAAATTTTCCATGGAACTCAAAAATCATAGTAATTGTTTTTATTTTCTGTTATTTGTAAAAAAACCCTTGTTTTGCTTTCTGTAGAACAACACTTTGCATCTGCCCACAAAACTTTTCGGTGAAATTACTGCAAATAGTATCGTATTTCAGATTCAAACTGAAACTTATACGAATATTTTAAGCTACATAACGTCAATGTGATTTAATTGGTTTAGCTGCTATAGTTAAAAATGTTCAAATGAATTATTTTTTTAATCTTTATTTAACTTTTTAGATTTTAATGTGATGAGACTCCCACAGAAATATTATTAGCAATTTTTTTATTATCGCTAACTATAAAATTTAACAGATAATAGAATTTTGTATAATATAGTTTTTAGCAGTTTTAAGACTGAATTGCTTATTGCTTATTGCAAGTCTCTAAGACAGAATAAATTTAATGCAAAAAATAAAAAAACACTTTCTATTAATGAATGTGAATACAAGTATAAGTAAATTTTTACCTGAAAATTTCAATCTAGTTACATGTGGTATGTATAATATGATTAGTAATAACATACTAGAATTAATACATATGTAGAAACTGATTATTACTATAGTATAACCAGTGGAGAGCTGCCTTACTCCATCACGTAAGTAATTAGAAATACTGATAGCATTTAACATTTTAAAGTAATGTAAGAATTTAAAAACCAAATAATTATGAAATTTATTGAATGTTTCAATAAATTTTTAAATATTTTAAAAATTGGCGCATATTGTAACAATTGTCAACTTTGTTTCAGAATCTGCTGATAATTTAAAAAATTTGTGGGGAGAACGATTTTTTTATAAATTTATGCTTTAATTAGCATGTTTTAAACTATGTATTTACAATTCACCGGTTAGATAGTAATATAATGTATTGTGTTTTAGCCACTAGAAGTATTTAAAACATATAATGAAAAGCTTTATTCATAAAGTTGTTATGGCTCTCCCACATACATATGTGAACACATTAAAATTGGGTAAATGTTGACGGTCAGCGCTAAAAAAATACATAAATTTTATACACAGCAAAGTTTTTATCTAAATTGGCCAATACAAACAAAATATTAACAAAGTTTCATTAACATGATGATTGAGCTTGTGAAAAATTATTATTAACAAAGCTTCTTTAATGATTTCAAAAACTTAATGTACAGTAGTATTTCATGTTCAAATGTCGATTTGCAGATTCATCGGTAAAAGTATGATCTACCGTGGAGTTAATAATTTATTTTCTTAGCATATATTTTGGTAAGAAATATTACATTCAACATTCAATATTAATTCAAAAATTAACTATTGTTGGTACTTGCTTTTACTTCAAATTATCTAATATATACCAACGAATTTGGAATTATAATATAATGCTATGTATTTAAATAAAATAAAAACATGCGAAATAAATAACAAGGAGCTGGCTAATCTGTAACACACGGAACTTCAAGTCATATGTCATTTTCTAGGAAAATGTTCAATATTTTGAAATAAAAACTATTGTTTTAATAAATCTAGATTAAACGAAAACATCACTGATATTTTAAATAATTGGAATAATAATAAACTTACTTGCTTTTAGAAAAGACATACATAATATATTCAGCTAAAACCGATCCGATTTTTAAGACACAGTTTTAACACATTCTCTTAAAAATCTAGAAATTTTATTTTAATTTGCAAAAATAAGTCTAACGACGAAAATAACGACAAAAATAAAAAATCAATTTAATATGAATGTTTATTAGAAAAATGCTTAGTTTTCAATCATATATATATGACACATATATTAATATATAACAATTTAAGTATTTTAAAATTATGGATATATATTTATTTTTCAAAAATAAGCAATAACACATAAGCCGTAGTTATTTCTTTCATAGTAACAAAAAAATACTCGTAACTTACGAAAGAAAACATGTGGAGCAACAGCGATGCTTTTAAAGTCTTCAGAGTTAAGTTCAACTCATAAATCTTAAGTTTAAGTGCAGACAAATTCAAAATCAATCTATTGTGAATGGTCTCTATATATACGTTGCAAAATTCAAGTCATCCGTTAAAATCATATGAGCATTTTTTTTTTACTAACACATTTCAATACATTAATAAATAAATTAATTTATATATATGAGACAAAAATACTTACCACTGCCCTTCTAATATTTGTTTTGTTTTGTTTTATTTAAATTAATCAAATTTTTGTGTTTTTATATTTCAAATTGTACACAATAAAAACTTTTAACATATTTTAAATGTGATGCCAATTTGTTTCAACTATTTCACATTTGTTTGTAATTTTAGCTGTTAAAAGTTTTTAACTGACATCTGAAATCAAAAAGCAATAATGCTGGTTCATACTACGTATTAATATAATTTGTTTGTCAGATTTATAATATGTTTATAATATGTTTATCATATTTATCATAAACTACTTACACAATTCAATTCTGTATTCAGCCGTCAAAATTCTCATACAAATTTATTTGTTAGGAACTTTTTTGCTATCGATATCAAGAATAATTTGAAATGGCAGCGAAAATTACAAACAAAACTTTCGTGTAAATCCAGTATTACAACTCTTGGTGGGAAAAATTACGGTCATTGTGATCAGTGTTGTTCAAATTAGACATAAATAAAATATATACATTTGCTTAATCTAAACATTTAACACTCACATTTTCTGTATCTATAACATTGAATACACAATTGAACGCACATTAATTGAAAATTTGATTTGCTTCACTGTCAAAAGTATTGCATTTATTTCATATACGTATGTATATTCATTCAACATATGTGAAATGTGTTAAATTGTGTTTAAACATTACATACATGGCACAGCATTTTCTATAAAAACACGAATTATTTTAATTAACATTAGTTATTATTTGGAAGTTAGTGGGAGCTCTTTAATCAGGATTAAACTACTACTTAAAGCTAAGAGCAGATATGAAGTTATTCGTAAGTTATAAATAAAATCCATATTATTAAGTAATTACATATAAATCTCTTTACAAAAATTACTTATTTTTAAAGGTCGCATTTATTGCAATAGTTTTAGTTGCAAATATGACTCAAGCTACTTCGAGTGTAGGTTCACCAGAAACAATAAATTCAACAGACGATGATGAACAGTTTGATATTACATTAAACAATTTAAAACGTTTGCAGGACAAAAAACAGGAAAAGCGTTATGCTTATAATGGTATTGGTATCTACGGAAACGGTTTGGATACGCTGAGTTACTATAATAACAATCCGTATGGTTCTAGAATTTGGGGTCAAGGTAAAATTTGAATAAATTATTTTGAAATATAACATTATTGGATAATGCATTTTAGATAATTATAGTGGTTATGGAGGATATGGTGGTTATGCAGGTTATGGCGGTTATGGCACCTATGCTGGTGTAGGCGTTTACAATCCTTATATCAATTCTTACTATAATCGCATTGGTGGATATCCTTATACACGTCCAGGATATGGTTATAATAGCTACCCATCAAGTTATTATTCTAGTAATTACGCAAATAGTATTATTGGCAGCGGAATTGGTGGCTTATCTGCTGGTGTTATATCGGCGGTACCGACCGCTGGATATCAATACGGACCCGGCGTATCTGGTACAATTTATTGATTGTTTTCATATCATGTTGTCCTGTTTTGTTAACAGAATGCAGAGATAATCCATAACCATGATTATTCATTTATAAAATAATTTTAAAAAAGTTTACGAACTGTTTTGAAATAAATTCCAAAAAATTTATAAAATTTTCAAAACTAAATCATGTAATATAAATTTTTTAAACTACTTAAAACTGCAGATTTATTGTTTTAAATTCTTGACATATATAATATATTTTATGGCTAATCAGTTATGTGTATAATTTATTACAAAAATAGTAATTGAAGATGAATATTTTTGTATATTACTCATATTTATTATTGGTGAAATATCTCATAGCTTGATATGATTTGTTCATACTATGTAATATATTGAAGTCATTTTATCTACTCCGAAAATACGTTCGTTTGAAGATAAACTACGCGAGTCTTTACTTGACTTGATTAATAATTGCATTGTAGGTAAAACCATTTATAAAGCTAAATTTTCTTCATTATGAAACAATAAAAGTAAATAAATAGATGCTTATCATGAATTTATGAGCTCCTGTTCTGCTTATTTTTTAAATTAGCATACACTCAATTTTTTACTATAAATCAGTTATGTTAGGTTTTCATTTCGAAATGAATATCTAATGTAAATTTATATGAATCTGCTAAAAATAAAATACTTTTTTGTCATTGCTTGGTTTGTATTTTTAAATTATAATGATTATGAAAAGGGGTTGTGCACTGCGACGTAAAAGATATATTGTAAACCTTTGTCGGATTAGAGTGTTTATTCAAGACCCATTTCTTTAATAAAGGACAGTATAGAGCCTATTTTTCTTAGCCTTGAACCCTTATGATTCATAAAATACCCTCCTAGATGGTTCTTTTGCTTTACATTGTGATAGTCTTGGTAGCTTTTCCTAATAGAGCTCTCTTTTTTTTCCTTTGCGCCGTTTATAAGAATGGGTCTATCATTATTTAAGCCGTGTCTCCTATCCTAGTTTGTCTGCCATTTCACTGCATTGAATACCAGCATGCCCCGGAATCCATATTAGAATAGAAGAATAGAAGTAAACAGGGTACTAGCTCCCACTGGAGCAGAGCACTGCGACCAGATTGATCTTTTGTGCCGTAACTGACCCTAATTGAACAGAAGACATTCCGCTTTCCGAATGAAGGCCAGAATGTCGTCCGTTGAGGACCTCCTAATGTCAGAAGGAGAGAGCAGCTCTCCTCCCAGTGATTTCCTCCTTGCCCAGATCAAGGCTGGGCAGTCACAGAGAATGTGACTCGTAGTCTCGTCTGCTTCTAAGCAGAGTCGACACTCCATCTCTTCGGACAGACCTATTTTGTTAAGGTGATAACGCAGTCCATGGTGACCCGTTAAATATCCCACCAGCAACCTCAAATCTGATCTGCTGAGGAGGGATGGCTTGCCATAACTATATGGATGAACCAGCTGTTTTGCCTGACGGTTACCTCGATTGTCACTCCAGTAGCGACCTCTCTCGGCTGAGATCCATTTATCAATTAGATAACTAGTTGTAGACCAACTTAGTCCACAATAGGGTTCTGGTCCACAGATTTTAGTTGCAGAACCTGCCCTTGCAAGGCTGTAGGCAGATTCATTTCCTTTTATACCTGTGTGTCCAGGCACCCAGCAAAGCGTCACCTTATTTCTGCTTGCCAGCTGTTGCAACATATCAAAGCAGTCTAATGAAAGTTTTGAGAAAAACCTCCAGGTGGATAGAGCTTTGATTGCTGCTTGACTATCTGAGTAAATACAGATGCGGGCGCCTTTCAACCCGTTGTTTAAGTTGATACGAGCACAGACCTCGATGGCGTGAACCTCTGCTTGGAAGACAGTGGGCCATATACCCAACGCTAGCGAGATTCTGGTGTTAGCACCAACACCTTCCGTGGTTTTTGAACCATCGGTAAACCATGATATCACTTCTGGTTCTGCTCCAGGGGTGCCATTTACCCAATCCAATCGATCGGGAATGAGGACTTCGAACTTTCTACCGAAGCGAAGTTCCATGTTCATGCGATCTGTCCTAACGCAGATCTCTATGCCAGGAACCAGTCTGCAGATAGAGTTTTGACTGTCAAGACTTCCGTGCATATTGATACCAGAGTGTAGCCTAGCTTCACTCAGGGCTGCCGTCTTTTTAATGAAGAGGTGCAGAGGGGTAAAACCCACTATGGACTCCATAGCTGATGTGGGACATGTTCTGATAGTTCCCGTCATAGCGATACATGCGAGTCTTTGCAGTTTATTGCATTTGAGTATTGCAGCTTTTTGTTGTGCCTTATTCCACCAAACAAGAGCTGCATAGGATACAATGGGTCTGACCATTGTACGGTAGATCCATGAGAGAATTCTGGGACTAAGGCCCCAGGTCCTACCATATGTGTTCCTGCATGTCCACATTACCTTTGTGGCTTTGCCAATTACATTATCCAGGTGAGTGTTCCAGTTAAGACGCTTATCTAGGGTGATTCCTAGATATTTAACTTCGTCGGAACATTCAATAGCCGTATCTTTTATAGATAGGGACCCTAAATTCAGTTTGTACCTTCTGGAAAATGGTACAATCACTGCTTTTTTTGGGTTAATACTTAGGCCTTCTTTTATACACCAGCTCGAAACTTTGTGTAAGGCCGCCTGCATTACGTCAGTAACTGTGGCCTCATATTTACCACAAACTATGATTGCCAAGTCATCTGCATAACCTATGGCATGGTAGCCAGATTGTTCCAGTTTGACTAGGAGATCGTCTACTACCAACGTCCATAACAATGGTGAGAGAACCCCACCCTGGGGGCAACCCCGTACTGCACTAATGCTAACGGTGGTACTACCTAACTTGGTAGATATGTTCCTGTCACGTAACATCCTATCTATCCACGTTATTGTACAGGAGTCTATATCTTTCCGGGCCAATGCACTGGATATGGACTCATAAGATGTATTGTCAAAAGCACCTTCTACATCCAGAAATGCACATAAGGCAATTTCTTTAGATTGAAAGGTGCTTTGAATTTTGCTGACCAAGTGATACAGCGCGAAATCCGTAGATTTGCCTTTTGAGTAGGCATATTGTGTGGGGTGGAGAGGAACCGTTTGTCCCATTTTTTCCCGTATGTGCAGATCAATTAGCCTTTCGACAGTTTTCAGTAAGAAGGAAGTAAGACTAATTGATCTGTAGGACTTTGGCTGGTCCATGGGTTTATTACCCAATTTGGGAATAAAGATCACATTTACATCTCTCCAGGAGTGAGGGATGTAACCCATAATGAAACATGCCCTAAAGAGTTTGATTAATGGGTCTAGAATGATATCAGTACAATTCTGCAATAAAGCAGGAAAGATACCGTCGCCACCAGGCGCCTTGAATGGTAGGAATGAGTTGATCGCCCATTTCACCTTGTCCTTGTCAAAGATAACACCAGAAAGTGCGTGTTCCTGACGTGTAGGAGCAGTTACTTCTCTGTTTGATTTTGATGTTGATGCACCGATTAAAGAGCCAGGGAAGTGTGTTTGCAACAGAAACTCAAGGGTATCTTCACGGCCAGTGGTGAAGGATCCATCGGGTTTTTTTAGAAGGCCTACTTCGTTATTTTTGACCTTAGTTAATGCCTTGTGTAGTCTGACAGCCTCGGGCAGCTTCTCAATACTTTCACAGTGGCTTCGCCAGCTAGTCCGATTGGACTGTCTGATTGATTTATTGTAGTCAGTGAGTGCAATTTTATATTCTTCCCACCTACCTGAGCGTTTTGCTCTATTGAATAAGCTCCTTACTAATTTGCGCTTATTAGCTAGTTGCGAGTTCCACCAAGGAACCTTACCCAAAATTGTAGCATTGCCTGCAACCGTGCTGTTATGAAAGGAGGTTAGTAATACCTCACCTAAGTGGTTAGCGGCTAACTCTAACTCTTCTACAGTTTGTAAAGGCCTAGCTATGGAAAAGTTTGCGGAACACACTAAGTCCCTGTACCTATACCAATCGGTTTTTCTGGGTCGGTAAACTTTTTCTTGCTGTGCGGATATACCGGGAATTTCAAACCTAATATGTTGATGGTCAGAGAGGGACACTTCGTCCGACACATGCCAATTCCATATAGATTCCTCAATACCTCTGGTGCATAGAGTGAGATCTAGTACCTCTTCTCTAATTGCGTTAATAAATGTGGGTTTATTACCTTTGTTAGCTATATTCAAACCTGCTGATATGATATATTCTAATAGGTACTCACCCCTTTTGTTAATATCGCTGCTCCCCCACACCGTATGGTGAGCATTTGCATCGCAGCCCAGGATTAGCTGCCGCCCAGTGGACCTGCAGAAGCTAATCAGCTGCTGGACTTCCGTTGGTGGAACTGCATTTTCATCACCTGGGAAGTAGGCAGAGGCCACGACAATGTCTGTCACCCCTCCTAATGTTGGAACTTCGACAAGGACCGCTGCTAGGTCTCTAGAAATAAAATTATTTAACGGAAGATGTTTTACGTCTCCACCGATTAAGATAGCTGCACGCGGCACTGCTATCGATCGGTCATAAACCAGCTTACCTGATTTAGAGTTAAGACCCCGAATGTGGCCACCGAACACCCACGGCTCTTGAATAAGTCCTAGAGCAATGTTGTCGGTTTGGGCAATTCTGCACAGGGTGGCTGAAGCTCCATATTAATCCATATTAATCCATATTAAGTGTACCTGATTCTTCCAGCTAAGTATGTTTAGCTTGTCAATGCACTTTTATACCCGTTTGAATGTTACCTGGTAGGATATGAGTGCCATTACAGCTGTAGGACTGACAGTATTGCGATTTTACGCTTCCGGTAGTTACGTTCAAGGTTAAAACTGGCGATAGATAGATTATCACGTATATATATTTCCGTTTGAAAGATGGTTGCAGTGCTTCCCAGTATCTTTTGCCTGGTTCATTTACACCAGCTCCAGTTCCCTCATTGGTGAGGCAGCCGTCTGTATACCATGTTATGTTCAGGCTTATTCTGAACTCTCCCAGGAAACAAAACTCCCTATTCCCACGTTGTTCCCAAACACACAACTCCCTTATTCTAAATTGCTTGGGAGGCAGCAGTTTTGGGAACAACAACAGTTTCAAATTT